CTAACCATCTTCTTTCATGTCTTTCTCCATTTGCCAACTTTAAAAATAATATGTACTAGAAATGTGCCTTAAAAATTTATCCTTTGGAAAACGTGTAGGTAATTCTAATTGGTCCCTTTTCTACTAATAAATCTCTTAACTTTGTATCAATAATTTTCCATTAACTAGTATCATAGATATTTTTAGGATTATGATTATTTAAATCATTTATGAGTTCTTGTTTTGCTCGGGAATCTACATTCGACTTTTCACTAATTTTTTCTCCTTCTTCTTTTTGATTTATACCGTTATCTAACTCAACATCAACAAAGTTAGTAACTTGTTCTTCTATAGAGCATTCCCCAACATTTTTTATTTAATTTTAACATTAATTTCCAAAAAATTATCAAGAGCACCTTTTTGAGAATTTATCAAGTTATCGACTTTTTTTTTAAGTTTTGAATGATCGGATTCATATTTTCTAATTGACATATTCAAATCTAACAAATATTTTAAACACTATTTAAAATATCAAATAAAAAATATGATAAGCATAAGATACAAAACAAAAATAATATTAGAAAATAGAATAATATTACCGGATTCAAAAGCTATGAAACTTGATTTCCAAAAATGAATCGAGTTACTGCAATTATTTTTCTTCAAAATTGAAATATAAACTATCAATAGAGCAAGTAATTTCCTAACTTTTGAAGTTTGAATAGAGTTAATATCTTAAAAGATCACTCAACTTTAGGAATTGATCTAGCAAAGTCATTAAAGTTTGTTTTGTATCAAAAAAATCACTCAACTTAGATTTTTATATCAATAAAATCACTTAACTTTAGGAATTGATCTAACAAAGTCATTAAAGTTTGTTGGGTATCAAAAAAATCACTCAACTTAAATTTTTTTATCAATAAAATCACTCAACTTAGACATTTGTGTTAGTAAAATAATTAAACAAAATTTGTCATTATTTTTGTTTGTTTCATATAAAATAGACCCTACAAATAAATAAAATTAAGAAACTAATTTAATTTTTTTATGAGAAACTTCTCTAGTGAAACAAATACTTTTATCTTAATATGTTAATAACTAAATAAAAAGAATAATTTGGAGTTCTATTTATTGGTCCACTAGTGTATGTTTTTGAGGATTAGCACAAATAAATTATCGATGAATGTATTCACAAATCTAATTAGGACTCATTAGAGAATAAGAGTACTAAACTAATATTTAAAAATTGTGACCTCAATTAACTTTCTGAATATGATATAACTGACAGTTTTTCTTTAACAATGTAAAAATTAAACAACAGTGCTCTAATAAAGTTTGTCTTTTTTTTGTTTTGTAACTTTCTTCAAAAATAAATGTTATATATTATTGTACTTCTTCATTGAAGCTTAAAATTATTTTGGCACTGTTAATCTTGATATTTTTTTTATAACTTTAATTTTTCAACTTAATTTTTTGCTTTAATTAGTCAATTTTGAGTAAATATTTTTTTAAATGATAACAATAATAATAATATCATAATGCTTACATACTTTAATAAAAGTATGTATTTCATTAATTAAGTTTGTTCCGTAAATCGCTGAATCTAAGGTATTTTTTTCCCTCATTGTTTGAATTTGCTTTTGAAATTTTAATTTACTTTTCAAATCGTCCAAATTTTTGGGGTTCGATGTTTAGAATTCATGAAAGTTAAGTCATAAAGTGAGTTGCCCTAATTTTACTCTAGTAGCAATGTGATCTCATGTATTTCAAGTTATGCTTGATCGCTTGATTCTAGTTTAGTTTATGTTTTTTTCGAATTTCAAATTGATTAATACATTCAATTCATAACAATAGTTGATATCCTAAAAGGTTAAAGAATAATCTCACTGGAGAAAAGTGAAAACATTAGCAAACCTAAATTAGTTATATAATTGCTATTGTATTAAGATAGTAATTTTAGTCGTGTATAGAATCAGTTCAAAGCATGTTGACAATGCAGGTAGTAATCACAAGTCAAACAAAATCATAAAAAACACAAAGGATTGACAACTATAACGATATGTTCATAGTTCTCTGTGTAAGAAGTGGGGTGAGAGAAGGATAAAGTTGTGTGATGAAGTTTACATTGTTTCGATAATATTCAACTGTTGATATGTTTGCATTGTTTGTTGAGTTAGAGATGGAAATAAACTATGTTTAGTTTTATCTAAAGGGATTATGGGAAGGGAAAAAACTATTAATATTAACTAAAATCATATTAATGTACGTGAATTTCGACTCTCAAACAGAATTAATGGTACTTCTTCATTTGTGATCGAACATAAGAATCTTGTTGTTTTCACTCTTTCTGACAGATATAAGTAGTATGATAAATGTTGTGTTAGGTAGTGGAGCCTGATTAATTTTAGATTTTCCTATTTATTCTATTTTAGGCTTTCTTATTTATTCTCTATTTTAGGCTTTCCTATTTATTCTCTATTTATTAAGTTACTTATATTTTATTTTCGCACTTTATTGTAATGGTTGAGTTTTAGGCTGACTTGTCTTGGTGGGATAAGACGAGTGTCATCACGTCCATTTTTGGATCGTGACAGTTGTTTTCTTATCGGTTGTGGCCTGACTTCACTCTGAAGTCTAGTATGTGTTATTTCATTCGACTTACATATCAATTATGGGATTCTCGAGTGTGTGTCATCATGATGTCGAATTTTGGATCTTGATATCACCATTCTTATAAAAATATATACACATGGAACCACGAAGATGTCATGTAGGCGCCACATAGACTAATAAAAATGATGACACAATACTTAACTGTACAAGGACAAATATGTGCCTAAAGTTAGATGATAAGAGTAAATATATCAAAAAAGTATGACGAAGGATAAATATGACCCTTTTCTAACCGTTCAAGGGCAAATATGACCTTTTTTCATTTATTTATTTTTAACAAATTGATGACCGAAGTTTGACTTTATAATAGATGTTTTTTATATTTAACATTTAAGCTTGTTAGGTTGGTGTTAAATCGTAAACTGGTTGTTGAAATCAAAAGAACATTTTTTTTCATGTAAAACTTTAGTAAAAAAATGTCTGACAATCTGACATTGCCTTTGACATGTCTACAACTTCAATGATCTTTACAAAGCCACACACTAGACAAAAAATATTTAAAATTAAACGAAAATTTTTCAACTTCTATAGTGTATGTATAATATATATGTATATGTTAAAAAAACAGACACAAGTTGAATGACGAAAAAAAAAAGGAAACATTTGTCCACTTATAGGTAAATGAGAATGACAACCCAAACACATTGTGAGAACTGGTAAGAAATGATTAATTTAGGAAAAATATGACAAACCAATAAAAGAACAATCATATATTAATTAATTCTCCATGCAGTATATACTATATACTAACCAATAATTAATCAAGTGAATTTTTGTTCTGTCCAGTAGTCAATTGCATGGTTAAGATCTTCTGGTAAAGGAGACTGACCTGCCAACCGCATGCTATGTTAATAATGTATATAAGCATAATTGTAAATTTTTCATAGCATAGGTATAATTTATATTATTATTATTATTTCCTCAGATCATGTTTACTATCATTAAAACATATTTATATGTTGTCATGATTCATTGAAGTTTAATTCGTTCGTTATATTTGCATATTTTTAATTACTTTTTAAAATAATATAATTATATAAGCATTTTTCACATTATCAATACATAAAAGTTGATAACTCATAATGATAAGTAATTGAAGAATCTGAGAGCATAAGCAAAAGCAAAGGTTGTCCCCTTTCTTTCAATTAAATTTAGGTATTTAGCTAAAGAGCCTCTTTTTTTGCTCAACTCTTGTTGCATACTTTGCTTTGGCCTCAATTAAAATTCTCACACATACACACACAATGGCCCCTTTTCTTAATATCCATCATGATATCCTATTGATATTTTCCTCTATTTAGTAATAAACTTCTTTTCTTTTGATTTTTACTCTTATATATTGTCGATGTATATATTGTATTACGTTATCTGATTTATTTATTTACTTATTCTACTAAGTATAATTTCGTATATTCTAAAGAGTTACATAGGTGGAGCTACATACGCTATTAGACAGGGGTGTAGCTACATACCTTTTTGAACACCCTTCGTCGGAAAATTATATCATATATACCAGTAAAATATTATATAAAATGGTTAAATAACGTATTTTGACAACTTTAATCTAATAAGGTGTTGTAACTTAGTGGTTTAAGGTGTCTTGAAAGAGCCAAACTTTTATAAGTTTGTGAGTTCAAATCTCGCTAACAACAACTTTAAGCCTCTTTTTTCTCAAAATTTTTCATGTATATTACGTTTTTTTTCTTTCAAAAACTTCATGTATATTACGTGGTTAAATTTTTAAAATTTCTAGGGCACATTTCATCTCTTTCCTTTTTTTCAATTTTTTTCATGTATTAACATATTTTTTTTTCAAAAAAAAATAATCTTGTATATTAGGTAGTTAATTTTTTAAAATTTCTAGGGCGCGTTTCATCTTTTTCCTCTTTTTGTTCAAATTTTTCATGTATATTACATACTTCTTTTGAAATTTTTTTTTGTATATTACGTAGTTTAATTTTAAAAATTTGTAGTGCACTCATTCAATCAAATGAAAAAAATGTATTTGTGTATAATTTCTGGACATCATTCGTAAAATTTCTGGCTACGTCACTGCTATCAGGTGAATGTTTAAACAAATTCAATAGCTATTACTTCAAATTCTAAAACACGAAAACAATAAATTCACAAAATTTAAATTTTATCTTCGCCGTTGGATGGTTACATATAGTTCAAAATTCTTAAATATTTTTACGTGGCCCGTAGTATATAAAGGTTAAACTTTTTTTTTCATTTACAAAATTACTCAATGGTTGGACCACTTGGACCTACCATATTGATGTGCTAGTGAGAGAAATAACTACACTAAATGACAATATGTCTTTTTTGTGTACCTATAATTATAAGAAACTTCAAAAGAATCACTCTCACTAGTAATGAAAACACTAATCTTCTAAAGTTGTCAAAAACCAATAAACCTTGTTGGAGTTTTTGGGAAATTTTATTTTATTAGTCAAAAAATTGTTTTGTACAATTGTAGTGTATATATTCATTACTCTTCACTTGATCTTCATGATATTTTGATTTAATTTGTTGTCCTTCTTCTACTCCCAAGTCCCCCCAAGCCAGCCCCTACTTCACCCTTCTAAGTCACTAGTAGGTGGCTCCACCATGACTTATACTGTGATTTCATTTGATATTTCTGAAATAGACATCAATTTCATTGATTGATCAATCTCTCTTGTGACATATTTAAATTGAAGTTCCATTGTTATGTTGAGAAGTGTAAGTTTTTTTTTTTGTATATTTTCACTTTTCTGTAAAAGGAAAGTCAAAGTATTACCATAAATATTTGAAGTCAGATCCAAAAAAGAATGGAATCTAGAAAGATGGAAGAATATGAAGTTGTAGAACAGATCGGTAGAGGAGCTTTTGGAGCTGCATTTCTTGTTCATCACAAGTTTGAGAAGAAAAAGTAAATTTTTTTTCTTCTCCTTCTTTTTTTAGTGTTCTTCTTTCAATATTAAAAGTTAGAACTGTACTTCCTTCGTCTCAATTTAAATTTCTTGATTTGACTATGTATGAAGTTTAAGCGATGAAAGTTAAGGGAAAATATTGAATTGTGGATTTTAATTGAAAATATGTATTATCCTTCAAATTTTTTGATCTTAAACTTTCTTATAATGTTAGAATCGATATGATATATATATATATATATATATATATATATATATATATATATATAAAGGAGACAATCTTCATAGGATAGATAAAAATAAAAATATAATAAAATGACACTTAAACTAGAACATAAAAATTAAATATAAAATAAAAAATGACACTTAAATTAGAACAAAAGAGGAGTGACATATTGCTAAATTTCTGCTTCATTTTTGTTGGTTTGATTAATCATGTTTGACAAAGAAAGAACCGATTATTGTTTGGAATTGTGTAACCATTTTATTTGACTAAAAATTAAATGATTAGAAAATTATTTTTATCTTATTAATTTTATTTTAAAATATTATTTCATGTGCAAATCTAATTTATTTTTATTTATATTGGCTGACGGTAAGACTCAAAATCACATCTTAGCCATGTTAATATTTTGTATAATTATGTCTCAAAAGTTATATATAACATTAACCAATCGGAAATTAAATAACTTCTTTATTTTTTAAGTAGAGATTGGATATATGATATTTTACCTTTTATAATTCTATTTTGTAAAACTATACTGTCTATATATATATATATGTTATTTGTTTGTAATACTCATTAATAGTATAATATTTTCTTTGTTTTAGTTTTTGATTTATTTAATTTTTAATAAATGAAAATGACTTATTGTTGTGAATGGTGTTGAATTGTAGGTATGTAATGAAGAAGATTCGTTTGGCAAAACAAACAGACAAGTTAAAACGCACTGCCCATCAAGAGGTTAGTTATTTTAATTAAAGTTTAATCTCTAATAGAGCGCACAAATTTATCAGATAATTAAATTTATAATACGGTGTCTAAGTACGAGCCTGAGTAAGCATGTAAATTTTATTTTTTTTATATGAGTAATAGTGAAATTTAATTCCGAAACCTCTAGCTCCTTTGCTGCTATGAGAAGACACATTTTTATCAGTTAATCTAACAAATCGTATTTTTAACAGTTTCCTTTTATTAAGCCAAAACTTTTTGTTTAGTATAGGTAAAAGAAAATGTTAGTATGGTCCAAAATGTAATAAAAATTCCTTTTAATTTATTAATCTAAAACCTTTTTTTAAGTATAGGCTAAAGCGGATGATCAGTCTTTTCAAATTATTATAGAATATTAAAATCAAAACTTATTGAAAGGTTGGATGAATTTTTTATTTTTTATTTTTGCTAAATTTTACTAATAACTAGATTTCACTTTAGAGAAACTAGAGACTATTCTTGACGGTTATTTTCGTGGCTCAAAAATATCTTTCGTTCTTGCAGTTATGTTATATCATAAAAATTTAAAAAATAGATTAGTTTTATCTTTAAACTATTTCAAATGGAAGAATTAGTTTTAAAGATTTAAATAAATCTTTATTTTGGAGATTTATGCAATTAGTTTAATCACTTTATATGTAATTTTTATACGACATCAATTTTATGAAAGAAAAAGTTTCATTATATATAAATTTTTCAACTACACATTTATTCTATTATTTTTGTTCAAAACTATTATTATGGTCCTCAACTTATGAAAGGACCAAAATAATAAAGAGCGTCAAGATATTATTGAAATTGATTTTTTTAATCATATCATTTTTAAAGATAATAAGAAAAGGTAAATGACTTCATATTCAGGAATAATAACTCATATTTTTATCTTGTAATTCTTTTCACATTTAACCCAACTCCCTCCCCCCACCCCCCCACCCCCCAAAAAAAAAATTAAAAGCAAAAGTATTAAATGTGTCATTTCGAATTTAAGATTGAATAAAATTAGCTCATTTTTCCTTCTAGCGGTAAGACACTTTTCTTTACCAAAAAAAATCACGACGGTAAATTCGATCTATTTTAAATAATCAAAAGCTATTGTAATTATATTAAAAATATCATTAGCAAAAATTAATTCTCAAATATCGTTAAATATGTATTTTTAACGGTAATTAGTTTTCTTTGTATATGTTCCTAAAACCTTTAGCGACATTAGTTCTAACGACACTAATTAACATCGATAAAAATTTTAACACTCTTTATTAATATTAATATTTAATGCTGCTAAAAGTTATTTTTATTATAGCGTGTTTGATCCTTTTTCCTTTTAAATTAGAAAATGATACCTTATTAATTTACTTGATTTTCCTTACAAATGATTAAATTAAACAAAAGAAAGGAAAATAACAAAAATAATAATATATTAATCTATGTGTGAGTGGGACTTATTTTCTACCACATGAAAAACACGAGGTTGGTAGGTGGTTGTGATAAATTAAACCTTTACTTACTATTGATACGAAAGAATGTTGCACCTAACATGACCTGCTTTCACCAAATGTATACATTCTCATATTTTTTTCGTTCACTTTTACTTATTTAATATTTTTAAATTATTTTTTTAATATATTACACAAATATTTTATACTACTTAAGTTAATCATAATTTATTAAGAGAAATACAATAAAATAAATGAATAAAAATAAACGGAGAAAATACATTAGTATAATGAATAAGAAGAAAAAAAAGTAAAATGTGAAATGTTTGGTAGAGATTATAAATGTTAGAGATACTTCACAAACAACTTTTCGTTCATACTGTCAAGCAATTATTCTTTCTGTCATAGTTTTCAAAAAATTTCTATATTTATTTATTAAATAAATGAAAATGTCTCTTCTCAATAATAAATGTATACCAAACATTATAATAGTAACTTTTTACATGTCAATAATTAATGAAGGCCAATTATTTTTATTTTTATTTTTGTATTAAAAAAACAGAGAAGTTTTCAAGTCCTTGCACTTATTTACCATGTAGTCAAGACTAGATGGGACAATCAAAATAAGTAGAACCTTAGGTTACAAACTAATTTTGGAGATTATGACATTTTATTAAATTCAACTTTTTGAAATGACAATTTTAATACAATACTAATTTTTATGAAATTTGAAGTTGAATTACCAATATTAATTTTTCAACTCATATTGTGACCCGCCCCCCACTCCCCTTGAGATTTTCTAATTGATTGTATCGAAAAGCTCAATATATTGAGATTGCTTAATTATTTATTTTCAAAACTATTAATGGTCCTTAGACTCAAATTTGAGATGACTTAAAAGTTAAAACATCACTCTTTTAAAAAACTTTATTGTTTCTCTTTGAAAATTATTTAAGGTTATATAGCATCATCAAAGTCGCCTCAATCATAAACATTAAACAACATAATATTAGCAAAATGGCTTTATTACTAATAGAATTGGAAAAAAAAGTTGATCAATAATATGATTTGTTAAAGATGAAAGAGAAGGAACTTTAGTTATGCTTTAATTTATCAAGGGCAAATACATAATTACCTCAATCTATATCCGAAATTACAGAGACACACTTATAATATACTAAGGTTCTATTATCTCCTGAACTTATTTTATAAATAATTTTCTACCCCTTTTCGATCTATGTGGCACTAGCTGAAAAAAATGTCAACACGTACTGGGCCCAAAAGATAGTGCCACTTAGGTCGAAAATGGGTAAAAGGTTATTTATAAAATAAGTTCAGGAAGATAATAAAAACTTAATATAGTATAAATGTATCTCTGATATTTCGAGCATAAGTTAGGGCCATTTATGCATTTCCCCATTTATCAAACAAGAACTTATGGAGTGTTGAATAATTAATTTTTCCTTCCTTTTTTTTTACTATGTAAGGTAAGAACAATTACTCTTATCTCACCTTTTTTTTTTAATCTGATCTTAAAATAAATTTGATTTTTACAGATGAATTTGATAGCCAAGCTAGATAACCCTTATATCATTGAGTACAAGGATGCATGG